AGGTTTAATTTGAACACCCGACCACACCCTGATCCCTCTTATACTTTTTTTACTTGCTTGACAAGTGAAAAGTTACATTATGGCATTGCAAAAAAGGAACGGTGTGTATACTTTCTAGAGATGCACCCATGTTCCCCTTTTTTAAAAAGTTTTTCAGAGCAGTTTTAGGTTCACAGTAAAATTGAGGAAGGTAGAGAGATTTCCCACATACCCCAAGCTCCCACATACCCCAAGCTCCCACATATCCATGGCCTCCATTATCAACATTTTGCACCAGAGTGGAAACTATATGGACACATCATAATCACCCAGATACATTTTAGTTCATTCTTGGTGTTGTACATTCTGGTGTCTGGACAAATGTATAATAACAGGTTCCATCCTTATGGTATCATAGAGTATTTTCACAGCCCTAAAAATCCTCTATGCTCTGCTAATTCATCCCTCTCTCCAAACCCTCATCCCTGGCAACCACAGACTTTTTTACTGTCTTTTCCTTATCCAGAATGTCATACAGTATAGCTGAAATCATGCAGTATTCTGACTTCTTTCACTCAGTAATATGCATTTAAGGTCCCTTCACGTTTTTTCATGGCTTGACAGCTCATTTCTTTTCAGCGCTGAATAACTCTTCATTGTCTGGATGTATCAGTTTATTTATTCATTCATTTACTCAAGCACATATTGGTTACTTTTAAGCTTTAGCAATTATGAATAAAGCTGCTACAAACATCCCTGTGCAGGTTTCTGTGTAGACATTAAGTTTCCACTCCTTTGGGTACACACCATGGAGTGCAATTGCTGGATGGTATGGTTAACAGTATGTTCAGTTTTGAAAGGAACCATCTGACTGTCTTGCAAAGTGGCTGTACCATTTTGCATTCCCCCAGCCATCGAAGGAGAGTTCCTATTGCTCCACATTCTTACCAGTATTTGCTATTGTCAGTGTTCCAGATATTGGCCATTCTAATAGGTGTGCAGTGGTATTTGATGATTGTTTTAAATTGCACTTTCTTGAGGATATACGATGTAGAGCATTTTCCACATGCTTATCTGCCATCTATATATCTTCTTTGTGAGGTGTCTGTTAGGGTCTTTGGCCCATTTTTTAATTATTTGTTATTATTGAGTTGGAAGAGTTCTTTGTATTTTCTGGATATGAGTCCCTTGTCAGATGAGGATCTGTGAATATTTTCTACCATTCTGAGTTGCCTTTTTACTTTCTTGACTGTGAAACACAAGTTTTTTAAAAAGTTTTGAACGAAGTCCCATTTATCTATTTTTTCTTTCATTACTTGTGCTTTTAATCTCTTATCTAAAATGGCTTTGCCTAATCCAAGGTCACAAACATTTTCTATATTGTATTTTCAATTTCAAATACCACTTGCTCATTGCTGGTATATAGGAAAGCTGTTGACATTTGCATATTAACTCTGTATCCCGCAACCAATGCTATAATCGTTTATTAGTTTGGGAGTTTCTTTGTCAATTCTGTCAGATTTTCAACACAGACAATCATGTCATGTGCAAACGAAGACAGTTTTGTTTCTTCCTTACCAATCTATGAGAAGTTCAGTTTGAAACTATGAATCTTAAGACAACTTAAGGGGAATTCAGATGGAAATTTCCAGTAATTTCGGACAACCTTGATTCCCTGAGCAAGTGCTGTATTCATTCACAAAACATTTACCATGTAGCAAAGGGGCCTGCTGAGCACTCAGTAAAAAATGTGTAAATAAAAACAGCATCATAATCATTACCTTTTCGGATGAGACCTGTGCTAGCAAATCTACTTGATATAAAGCAGTTCCATGTTCTTTCCTTGAACCAACACTTAGGTACCCACTTCCTGTATCATCACTTGTTAGCAGCTCAATATCACTCCACATGTTTCTGAGATTATTTTCCTGAGTCAGGAATCACTGCCTTCCCTGTGACAACATGTAAAATTAGAGACCAAATTATATTATAGTGTTCCATAGAATCCAGTTTCTTGGGAAATGGAAAGACTTTATCCAAAAAATATATATCCATAAAGACTTTTCTGTCTTCATATTATTTCTGTGGTCACTAGACACTTTGGACCAATAAGATAAATGGAACTAGAGCTATGATTATCACTAGAGAAGAACATATTAGTTTAGGAATACAAAGAATTCTGATCTTACCAATGTATCCTAGAGCTTCTAGCATTTTGTGCACCTCTCTTGAAATTATAACAAGTTATCATTTGAAATAAACCTTTAATCGGTATAGCAATAAACAGCAAAAGCTCTGAGGTCAGACTGTCTGGGATATCTTAGGATGGTAAAGTTCCAGATGAAACTTAAAAAATGTCTATTAATGTTTTCAGTATTGTACAATAAATGAAAATGTTAAGGGGATGAGGACAAAAACTAGATTAGGTTTCTGACTGGACCAAAGGGTATACTTGTAAACCTAGGAAAGTCACTTATTAATCATCTCATCAATAAAGATTTACATAACTCATCTTATGTGTGGTCTGGTTGGTGGAAGAATATTAAGATGAAAAGCAATACCTGGATCAGGCAAGATTGGTGGAGAACAATAACCAAATAATTATAGTTGTCTTGTTAAGTGCTAACAGAACATGTTCTAAAATCTTTGGGAGGTACAGCGCATGGAAGAAATAATTTTTGACATGGTGCTCTTTCATGTTTACTAGCCAGTTGTCCTTGAGCAAGCAACTTAATGTTTACTCATTTCGCTAATCTATAGGCATATAGCTGTACCTGCCTGAAAAGCTTGTTATGACTCTTAAATGTTCACAAAACAATGCTTGGTTCATGGCAAGCACTCAATTTTAAATGTTAGTGAATTTATTGTTATTGGTGGAAGCAGGTAACATTTGAGTTAGTAATTTAAGGTCATAGAAGTTTATAAAATTCATTTTTCAACTTAGTTGACATACAATATAATTAGTTGCAGGTGTACCACAAATAAGTGCTTGTTTGCCTCTCACTGTGAAAGTTTTTAAGTTAGCAAAAATAAATAACACGTAGTTAGTATTGAGTATGCAAGATAGTTTAGAATGCTTTACTCTTTCAGTCAACGTAACAACCTATTTTACAGCTGAGAAACAGGAGTCTGTGATTAAGTAAAGAGCCAAGATTACCTAAAGCGAGTCAATGAAGTAGCTAGACAAGAAACAAATTCATGCCTACTATTATCTGTTATACTGCCTCCCTACAGGGAAAAAAAAAATTAAATACACAAACGATAACAGTGTGAAACGTTCTGAAGTAAACAAAAGTGCTCAGATGGAGAGGGAGGGTCGCGTAAGAAGGACCTGTTCGGGAAGGGAAGGAGATGATATCTGAGCTGAGACCTGAACTGCATGAAGCCAGCTCTGCAAAAGGACAGCAAAGGCTCAGAGGCTGGAAGGAGTTTGGGGTGGCTGCCCCGTCAAAGCAAGAACGGAATAGTCTGGGAGCTAAAAGAACAGGTGGAACTAAGCGAATCCTCGACTTCAAGATTGGGTTTTATCCACAGTGCAAGGGGGAAGAAACTAAGCCGACGAGTGACATGATTTGATTAACGACTTGAGGTCACTGTGGCTGCTGGGTGGAAAACAGACTAGCGAATTACACAGACTGAAGCAGAGCCAGTGAGACTTCCAAGCATAAACCCTCAGCTGGACGCCGGGGTCAGCAAGAACCGACTCCACACCTCTCTCCCGCCAGCGTCTTGAGGGGAAAACACCCGGTACTGTGATGAGGCCGCTGATACTTTGACCTGAACCCACCTCCCAGCTCCCTTCAGCAGCGCGACTCCCCCTCCTCACCTGCGACTGAAGAAACTGAAGCGGAACACTCAAGTTTATCGGCCCTCTTCCCGACTCCCACAACCGCCCCTAATCTCTTCAGGTTCTATCCCACAGGTTTAAATTGGCGGGAGAATACCAAGCCCAACCCCTTTTACGGCGGCCGAAGAAGGCCATGATTGCTTTAGAATCGAAATAGGAAGTCGCCCCACCCTAAATTCCACCCTTTCCGACTGGCAGGCTGCGCATTCCGGGCTGTATTCTTGGCCCCGCCCCACGCCCTGGCTTTACACGCCCCCTTCAAAAGAACAACCAATCACCGCCTCGAACCGCGTTGCTATGAAGGCCTATCACCACCCCTTTCCCTCCCAGCAGGCTGTGCGACGCGCCGGGCCTCATCCCCTTTGTGCCATCCGGGTCTCCAGCCCGAGCCATTTAGTCTGTGGCGGAGCACCAGGGCGGCCGGTAGTGTTGAAAGCGGCAAGCGAAGGCGCCGCCCAAGCGGCCAGGACTCTGGACTATGGCGGTAGGTACCGAATCAGAGTTTGAGGCTAAGGTTATTTTTCTACTACTCTCCAAAGGATGAGAAAACGACTCTCAGAGCTGTTATCCGCGCGCGTGTGTGGACAAAATGGCGCCGCAGCTGCCTTCTGTGCCCGCCATCATGGCTGCCTGGTGTAGGGAGGGGGAATAAGGCGGTGTCGATGGGGGTGGGGAGCCGCAGGGAGTGTCTTTTTTTTTCCAGAACTTTCCATTTCGTTTCCAGTCCTGTTCCTTTCGTCCCACAGAACTGCCTCGAGTTTACCTTACTTTGACTACTGATTTATATTGAGTTTCATTAGGGCTGGGGAATACATGTTCGTGGTAGGGAATGGTTGAAAAGAGAAAAGGAATCGGGTCTCCAAAAAGTATAAGGGATAGATGCTAAAAGAGAGCAGTCTTGGGATTTATTTTTTTTGCCTGACTTCAATAAGATGATTCTAGTCGCATAATTTCGATGAGAGTTTTGTTTGCGAAAACCTGAGTTTATTCCTTATAAGGAGCTGGGGAAGGTGTCGCTCAAAGGGATTAAAAATTCGACTTCATTAGGAGAAAGCTATGAAACTACGAATTCCGATTGATGCTCCGTTTCCAGAGCGATTCGTGATGTAATCATTTTGAAGTCTTGGAGAAGCATAATCAAGCTTTATCTTTGGCTTGGTTCCTTTAAATTTAAGAACTCTTCATTGACGAACTTAACCGTAAATAAAAACTAGTTTCTAAACGATCTCTTCAGAACAATAAGCCTGTTTTGGACATAAGATGCCCGCCCAGTCCTGATGGATCGCGTTATTGTGTGATTACTTCGGTTTTACTTATTCTGTTAAAAGAAAAATACAGGCATTTCGCATTCTTTTCCACTGACTACAAAGATTTACCACTTTCGAAAAAAGACCGGTAGACATAAAGAAAAATATGTACTTTATTGTTTCTAATGTTTGGGGTATCTAGAATTAGAAAGGGTGG